CAAGAGCCCCCCCGCCCACCCTGCCCAGGGATGGTTCCTTGGTGCAAAAGGATACCTGCTCACCAGCTGGGGAAAAGGTCCCTTCTGAGAGCACATTCCCCTTATCCTCAGCACGGTGCCCTGTTTCTCCTTGACTCCCATGCTCCCTGACAGCGGCGGGGCTGCCAGATCCAGAGTGGGACATATCTAACAAGTCCCCGAGAGTCTTTTCTGTGCGCCTAACTGACTGTCTCTGCTTCTCCACGTCAGCCACCTTGGCCTCAAGGGAGCAAACACGTTCCCTGAGAACCAGGAGGTCCTTGCACCGAGCACACCCCCAAGACTTCTGTCCAGTGGGCAGATAGTCATACATGTGACACTCTGTGCAAAACACTGGATAGCCCCCAACCCCCTGCTGGCATTCTGGCTTCATAATTCTTTTAAAATAAGTAAATATAATCCCCCTTTTTAAACCCTTTGTATTTATGTGGTTTTTCTTGTCGAAGTCAACTTACCTTACGGGGAAGACAAAGAGCCTAGGGCCTTGGCTTTCTGGCTCTTCTTGGGCTTCTTACAGAACCCCTAGTCTAAGAGTCCCTAGGCTAAGAGCCACAGGCAAAGAGCCCTTTAGCTCACCCTTCGGCTTGTGCTTCTGGCAAAGTGCTTCCTTAAATAGAGGCCTCCCCCAGCAGAGGGCAGGGCACCAGCTATTCAAATTCACCCAGGCACTCAATCACAGGCAAACAATGCCCCTTCCTCTTCCTCTCAATCACAGTCTAACAATGCCCTTTCCTCTCCCTCTCTCAAGCAGCCAGGACTCTGCAACAACTCTAATCACTTTCACAAACTCCGAAACAGTCCTGCCACACAATATCCTCAGCTGAATCCCCTCAGTTGAAAGCAAGTAAAAAAACACTCACCCCTCTAGCAGCTCTGTCTCTTGCTCCTGCTCAGACCACAGAGCTCGTCTGTGTTAGTATTTACTGCTACAAAACTTGCTGCCAGTTCAACTAATACCTACAGAATTACATAAAGATCAGTAAAAAGCCTCACTTACCATGAATCTCTTTGATCCGAAGTGTGTTCTGATGAAGCTTATGTTTCAAAATCAACTGCTCCAAGTAGTAGAAAGTCTTTTTATGCACGGTCTAAAATTCAGAGTGAAAAAAGAGACATATTTCAAAGTGATTTTATGTTTCTATAGAGGCCTTCAGGGCATCTGGAAATATAGCTGATCAATACTACAGCCAACTTTGACCAAAACTCAAAAGCACCCCAAGGTCTATAAAGCAGGTATATGTACCTTTACAAAAGCAACACAAAGTCTATCTAGGGAGAAGCTCCACTGAGCTCAGTGGTACTTATTCTCTACTTGATATGCTTGGGATTGTAGACTTTTGAATGGAATATAGGGAAGAAACAGTATAAGAATGCTGAGGGAAATCTTTGGAAACACCCTGAACTAAGCTTAATTAAAACAAGAACAAGATAACTATTAAACAATTCAATTTACGTTTTCGACTTTTCAACTGAAATTCCCATGCAATTTTAATAATGTCTTTTAAGCCAAACTCTAAAACAGCTTCTATCCAGACAAGAGCGTGAGTCCAATAGCACCTTAAAGGCTAACAAAATTTGTGGCAGGGTATGAGGTTTCATGCGTATTTGAAGTAGTGAGCAGTGACTCACGAAACCTCATACCCTGCCACAAATTGTGTTAAGTCTTTAAGGTGCTACTGGACTCTTGCTCTTTTCTACTGCTACAGATGGACTAACACGGCTACCTATCTTGATCTATCCAGACAAGAGATAGCATGTGCAGAGTGGAGTTTTGGACCACCTGTACCTAGCACAACTTGCCTTTTAACAGAAAACTTTTGTAAGCACGTGGCTTATACTGCTTATAGCACAAGAGGCAACCATCCCGCTTTGATGGGTCAATCTTGTGAATATACCTTCTGTCTGACTTGAACCACTGCTTTCCAAAAGTCCTTAGCTTCAACTCGATGGCAGTCATCGCACATTTGAGAATGAACAACATACTCTATCACAAAGACTTGTTGAAGAATTGCACCGTTCATTACCTAGGAAAGAAAAAAGCACAACAGTAAGTCTTCCCTGCTAAACTGCTTCCAGGAGTGGCTTTTTCTGGTTTATCTTCCCACCACCACCACCCTGAAACTGTTTGCATACTACATGGTGCGCATTATCTGAAGGACCATTTATTCCCTATGAATTCACTTATACTTTTATTTCAGAGTCCATGTTTCATAGATTGGAAATAAGGCCTACTTAGTAGTGACACTCTGTGATTCCCCAGGGACATTCATAAGTCAACCACTTTGCCAGCTTCTAGCTTGAAAAAAGTTTTATTCTTTCGGACGGATATATTTTTGATGCATCTTCTGTTTTTATCATTTGCTTAATGCCAGCCTGGTAACAACATACTCCTGTATTTTTCTGCTCTGTTCACCTTTAAGGTGCCACTGGACTTCTGTTTTATTTTTCTGCAACAGACCAACACGGCTATGCCTGAAATTATTTTCCTGCTAAAAATGCAGGTTTACAAAAACTGCTTTCAAGTTTACTCACCTCTTTTTGCACAGTCAACTTTACTTTAAGTCTTTTGGAGTGTGGTTCAGTCCATACAAATCCGGCTTCGATTAACCGTACCTGGAAATAGTAAGTGTGATTATTCACCTTGCTCAAACTTAAGACCAGCAAAAGAAATAGCTGCGTGCTACTGCCTTAAGCATCCATGCTCAAGTAACTTTAACACAAAGTATGAAAATATAAAGATATTCACAAGGCATTCACTTCGTTTCAGAGGACAGCCGTGTTGTTTTACAGTGGAACAGCTAGAATTGAGTTCAGTAGCCCCCTAGAGACCAACAAGATTTTGGGGTATAAGCTCCCAAGAGTCAAGGCTTCTGACAAAAGGGAACTCTGACTCTCAAAAGCTTATACCCAAAAGATCTTGTTGTAATCCAAGGTCCTACTAAACTTGAATCCAGCTGTACTCACTTAATATTTTAGGAAATACATACATCATATACAGAAAAAACCAAACATAATGACCATAATCGTTTAGTGACTGGAAACATTAACTTTTTTCCTTCCTAAAGCACAGCCACAAACTGCTTCCAAAGTAACACCCATGCAGTGCTGTGATGCCCTTCGAAAAACCTTCTAGGCCCAAATGAAAAGTACATACTGCATCACATCTAACACTGGCCTGTATCAATTTGAACTTCTAAAGGAAAAGTGTATCTGGCAAATACATACAGGACACTTTTGCTTGTGTAATGTATTCAGCCTGACATGCCCGGACTTGCCCGGGCTGGCCAGGCACAACTCTTCAATAGCTTCATGTCCAAAGACAATGGGTCCGTAGGATCCTAGCCGGCCCAATTAAAGGGCCAGCTTCTCAGCCGGGAGACCAATGGTCGCCCGGTTACTGTAAATAGCCTATCGGGAGTAGGGGGTGTGTTTAGGTGTACTTGGTGGCGGGTTTTCTGAACATATATAACCAGCCTGCGAGCTGGTCCCTTCGTCTTTGTCCTGAACTAAATAAAGGTATGCTTAGCTGAAATCACTCTCCGTCTGCATACTTTTCACTGGCGACGAAGGTGGGATTCACGACCCCATGAACAAAGACCCGGACGCCAACGCGAGCACCGCACCGAGCCCCGACGCCGAGACCTCCGGGAACCGCGCCGCTTCGCTTCCCAGCTCTCCGGCAACCGCTCATCGCGCAGCTCCCGGCTC